TCCCCATCTCTGCAGGGCCATCTTCCCACTGTGTGTCATTGTGCGTCCTCTCCTCTTCTAATAAGGACACCATTTAGATTGAATTTAGGACCAGTCCTACTTCAGTATCACCTCATGTTTAATTACATCTGCAAGGACCCTATTTTCAAATATGGTCATCTTCTGAGGTTCCAGAAGGACTTGAATTTTAAGGGGGACGCTATTCAATCCAGTATACACATTTTTCAGGATTTTATATTATTCCATTCTGTGAGTATTCCATAATTGAACATTTCTAGATTTTCTACTATTATAAAAAAAAAAGACTTGGGACATTCATATACACACACTTTTATATACATATACTATTATTTCTGTAAGATAGTTTCTCGGAAGTAGAATAGCTGGGTCAAAGATCATTCACATTTTACATTTTAATAAATACTAACAAATTATCTACATAAACTTACACCGATGTGTAACTTTCATTAACAGCATATATAGATCATCAACACTGGATATTGCCGTTGTTTTGCCAGTCAAGAAACTGAAAAGTGGTATCTCACTTTAAGTCACCTTTTAGTGGAGTTGGATGTCTTTTCATGTGTTTCTTTTAGGCCATTTGTGTTTATTTTTCGTGAATTACTTTGTTCATATTATCTACACAGAGAGAGCAAAGCAATGCCCTTTCCTTCTAGTCCTGCCCTCCTCATGTGTGGCACAAAGAGAGGCTTGAGGTCTCCAGTGACCCATGAGCAGTCAGAGGTGAGGGTCCTCAGGTCCACAGTCTGCCCAGTGTCTGTCACATGAGGCTCTTAATATAGTCTCTGACTCTATCTCTGCCCTGAGGGGAGTATCTGCTGTAGATTTTAAGCAGTGACCATACTACGTGATTCATTTGTATTACCCCAGCAAGCCTTCTGGCACTTAAATATTTCGCAGAGTTAATTTGTCAGGGGGCGGGTTGTTGCCTGTTGCTATTCTCACACATTTTCTCTTCTAGATGAACTTTAGAATGTCGTGATCACAACCCCACCCCATCTCCACCTTCACCAATAAGAGACTCTGATGGGATTCTATCCAAGTTGTATTAAGGTTCATATATGTATTTTTTGAGTAGACTTGACATCTTTATGATATTTAGTCTTTCCATCGAGGATCATGGTATGATATGTTTATTTAGGTCTTATTTTATATCCTTCAGTAAAATTTTCTAGTTTTACCTTTCTTGTAAAATTTATTGCCAGTTTTTATCAATGAGATCATTTTCCATTTCCATTTTTAAATGATTATGGTCAGCACTGTAAGAACACTATTGATGTTTACATGTCTACACATCTCTCTGTTTTGTGTTCTGCCACCTTGTTAAATTATCTGTTATTGTTTTCTTTTCCTTTCTTGACTTTCTTTGGGTTTTCTTCCTCCACCTGCTTTTCACATATCTCTACCTGTTAATCCCAAGAATATCTAAAGCTCAGAATAAAACTAAAATAAGTTACAGTTAAAATAATCTCTTGATACCCTTAGGTTCAGAACTGCCTGCTACTAGCCCATGAAGCACCTTTGTATAAATTAGAAGAATTTCTCCTGACACTTTACTCTTATCTCCTGGGAAGACTGTCATAATTAATTGATTCATTTGGAATATGACACATTACTACAGAAACATGTGATGGTAAATATATGCAGCTCTCCAGTGTCTCCCTTAGATGAGGAGCTCTTGCGCCATCTCAGCCTGCACAGACATTCTCCATAGTGCTGCTCAGAGCCATAGATTGTGTTATCACTGCCTCTGGAATCACCCCTTTCTTCCCAAGCCCACTGCCTCAGTTAAAACTCTCGTTATAGGGACTTCCCTCGTGGTCCAGTGGTTAAGACTCCGTGCTTCCAGTGCAGGGGCGTGTGGGTTCGATCCCTGGTTGGGGAACTAAGATCCCACATGCTGCACATTGCGGCCAAAAAAAATTTTTTTTAAAAGAAAAAAGACTCTCGTATTTCACCTCTCATCACAGTACAACCCCTCCCTCCACCAAAAAAGGACAAAAACAAAGTATAACCGGGTCTTCCTCTTCCCAGCCTCTCTCTTCCAGGACACCCTAGTCACAATCCAGAATAACCTTCCTAGAAGGAAGCCCTAGAAGTCCTCATCACAGTCTTCCTCAGCAGCCTCTGTCCTCTTATCCCCGCCCCACCGCATCCTCTGTGCTCTTCCCACTGCACCCAGGTGCCTCGGTAATTCCTCCTGCCTCTCAGTCTCAGTTTGCTCATCTGTAAAATGAGAATAGCAATGCCTCCTCAGTAATTATGTGGTAAAGAGTAAACGATATATTACCTGCAAAAATGACTCGTATTGGGCTTGGTGCTGAGCACGTTAGTTTTCTTTCCCCTTCCTACCCCCTCCCTCACAAGTACTTTGGAAATGGAAATGCTGTATAATTGTAATATGTTGTTATGATTATTTATGCCTCATTGTATGTCCATTACCCAGAGTTCTTGTATTTTGGCAAGAATTCATCATATTTGACCTCTAATAAGGAACATTTGAAAATATTCCAGAAGGGGAAAAAAAAAGTTTAATTGCAGCCTGAGTATGCCACTGGAAAAAAAAAAGCATACTGCAGCCTCAGCATGCCACTGAAACAAGTTCCACGAAAGGGTTTTCTGCTGCCCCTGGAGGCTCATGGTGAACACTGTGTGTGCTAAGGTGTGCATAGTCCCCTGGATGAGAAGAGTGGGTGGCAGCTGCCTCAGGGAAACACAGGTTCTGTCTGCAGGAGATGGAGGTTGCTCAGGAGACGTGCTGAGAACAAACATAGCCCTCCCCCGATGAGGATTTCTTATACTGCACGACTACTGCCTTCTGCTGACTACAGAAAATGTTTTGTGGTTAAGAGTCGGTTTCCACATGTGTTTATTGGTTTAAAGAACTGACTTGGTTTCGGCCACATTTGGTTGTCTGTTGTCTTTTGTTGTAGGCTCTCTCCTGATTGGGTTTCCATTGGGTTTTTTTTTTTTTTTTTTTTTTTGCGGTAC